AAGCAAGGCCTGCTTCTCTACATGGGAGCCCGTGGGCTGTAGTTGGTGCCCAGGCATTTAACTGGTCATGTTCCTGCCCTTGCAGCTCTGCAGCCTCCATGCAGCGAGTTCAGTTGTTTCACTTGCTGCTCACTGCTTGCACAGAGAGAAGATGCAACACTGTGTGCTCTGCAAGGAGATGGAAAAGTGGCTGGCTGGGGATGTTCATCTGGCTAATACCAGTCCCTTTCTTCCTAGGATTCCCAACCTGGAGCCAACTCAGATGATTGTGACAGGCAGAGCCCAGGAGTGGAAGAATCCTGATGAACCATCAGTGCAGATGGAGAAAGGCCAGGGACCCAAGGTGGAGAACACCACCCGAGGGACAGGATTTGTGTGAGCTGGAGCATCCAGCAGGAGCCGGCGACATCCTGCCTTCTGAGGATGATCTCCCACTCTTGACCAGAGACGTCTGGAGCTGCCCTCCCAAACTCCAAGAACATTCTTATCTTACCTTTTAGTTAGCTAAGTTAACTAATTGTTCGTTAGATTTCTTATCTTAGATTTTAGTTAGCTAAGTTAACTAATTGTTCGTTAGATTGACAAGTTCTTGATAATTGCCAGTTCATTGTTAATAAACAATTGTTAATTGTTAATTGTCATCTTGTCTTGGTTTGAAAGACATGTGTCCGCGGGACCTCTCTGGAATGGAGAATGTGACCCCCTTCTCTCCAAATTATTATAACTTTGAAATTAAGGGGCTTTCAGGAAAAGATATGGGAAAAGGAGTAACAGTTCTTTGCCAGTATGTACAACAAGGCAAACAAACAACAACGCCAGCGGCAACAACAAACAGAACCAGGTGCCCAACCACAGCCTTCCCTTGGCTGTAGGCACTTTCCCTGTGGTGTAGTTCCTGTCAGAGCCAGGCAGGGAAGGGAGGCAAATAATTAATAAAGCAATTGCTAGAGAAACTTCAGTTATTATTGAGGGGCCCAGAAAGGGACCCAGCACCCGAGGTGTGGCCTCACCAGTGCCCAGCACAGCAGGACAATCACTGCTCTTGTTGGGAAGGGTGAAAGTTTGACAAGGATGTCTCACAGACATGGATGCTTAGCAGAAAGATTTTTGAGTGTAGAATCTGAAGAAGGAATAGAAATGAAAGCAAGTTTTGATGTAGAAAAAAGACTTGCTGAGCCAGTCTTACTGGATAGCTAAGAAGGTAAAGGATATGTTAGTTTGTTGTAGTGTGTTTTTATACTTTGTAGTGGTTTTGGTTTTGTATCCCCTTATTTTTCCCAAATGGTTTCCTCCTGATCATTCCCCATTCCCTTTACCTGTGGCATCCCTCTCCTTTGTTGAGATTAT